CAAATGGCGGACCTTTTGGCTTCGGATGGTGGCTCCTATTTTTTGTTCTTTGCTTTTCAGGGTTTAGGGTCTAGGGTTGAGGGTTCAGGGTTTAGGGTTTAGGGTTCAGGGTTTAGGGTTTAGGGCACAAAATGGCGGACCTTGGCTTGGGCAACAACCGCTCCCGACGACTGTGTGGGCAATTTGAAAGCTGGGGCCAAGAGCTTCTGGATACAGATGGTCCACAGAGTAGGGTTTAGGGTAGTTTAGGGTTTNNTAGGGTTTAGGGTTTAGGGCGTTGGCGTGAGACTGTCGCGAAGGGCTTCCATGCCGGCACAAGCGAAGTGGAATGAGCGCCCCATGCTCGAGGTTTCGACTCCAGCATGAAAGTTCGGGTTGGTTCCACTATACTAATATTCCCATCACAAGTAATCCCCATACACAGCTTTGGGTCATGGTTGCGGCAATGCGGGTGATAATTACTGTCCGGGCAATCTACTGGAAGTTGATGCAAAGTGCATTGGATTCATATCGCACTTCGGATTTTATTGTTTGCTGCCGAAGCTTGGTTGGTTGGTTGCCGGCTAGCTTTTCGTTGAGAGCCCGAGATCCAGATCAGGGTTTGTCCAAGTGCCCCCAACCTAAGGATGTCAAAGTAGTCCTTATTTATGGTTTNNCCTTAACTAATGGGTACTTGGACCCTACTAAGGGTTCTTGTTCAATGCCAGAAACAGAAAGCCATGACCCTGAAGAGAGGGCTTTGGGTACCTTTAGACTTCAGGGTTTGGGGTCAGGGTTCAGACTTAGGCTTACGAGAACGGAAGGCTTACCAGCAGCAGTTCTAGCAAAATGGACCGATGATGGTACGGTCTTGCTCTCAATCACCTTGAGGAAAACTTTCACGAGCAACAAAAGCAGCCAAACACCGACGCTCTGGAGTTCCCAGCACGCATTCCTCAAATCCAGGCAAGAGGCTTGAACATGAGAACCACAAGACATGACATGCGCAAAGAACTCAAATTGCCCCACCAAAAAAATCACGGCTTCTAACAGAGTGCCCCGGCCCTGTCGCAGCAGCTTGCTGGGCAGATTCGCCTGCTCGTGGATCCACCTTTCAGCTGTTTCCCGAACTTCCACCAGCGGCTGCGGTGGTTGCTAATCAATCGTCCATTAACTCAATTCTCTCTTCTTCTTCTGCACAGCCTAAAGGGGGCAAGCCCCCCCGCGCGCG